CCCCGCCCAAGACTGACCTCATGGCCTTCAGCCCCAGCCTTCCACCGTGCCCAGTGGTAGATGTGGACGGGGAAGATCAGTCTATTGGAGGAGACCACTCTAGGAAGGTGGGTTATTACGTTTTCATTTTCTTTTTGTGCTTTATGAATAATACTTTCTCTTACCGCATTTTCTCAAATATATATCAGAATATTTCATTTTTGTTTACATTCCATTTATGCTGGAATATTTCTAGTGATACCTTTGTAAGATAATTTATTCCAGGAGTTTTTGAATATTTTTATCCTATCCAGTGGGTCAGCCGTTGTTTGGTACTTAAATTTTTAAAAATAATAATTTATTCTGAATACACTAATATTTTCCAATACAGATATGTGATATAGGTTGCAGTTCTGATGATTCACTTTCATAATCACTTTTTATTACAAGTATTTGTAAGGTTAGTACTTCATGTTATTTCATTTCCAATCTAAATTTTGATTTGATTGTATTTGCATTAACAAAAAATTTCACTGATCTGTATCTCTTAAGTGAAAATGTGTTTTCCCCCATGCGTAGAATATGTGTAGTGTACCATAGCTTATACTGCCACAGCAGATTTCTATGTTCAGTGATTACAGCTTTTCCTTAATAGTGCAGTAAGTAGGTGGGCAGTTCATTGGTAAAAATGTCTTTATCTTAGCAATTAAGTTAAATGCTTTGAATTTTAAAAATGTTTTCCATCTTTATTTTAGTTGTAGTGTTACCTGTGTCAGTGTGTATTATTCATTTAGCAGAAGAAAATGTATGTTTCAGTTATTTACATAATTTTATCCAGTAGTTCTTCATTATCTGCTCCTTTATCAGTATTAGGCATTGCTTATGATATTCACGTATTAGCTCTTTCACTTTGAGGAAGGAGCCATGCTTATGCTTAAAAATGAAGAGAATTTGAACACTTTTAATTTTGAGATTGAAAATACTTTAGTACAGATGAATATTAAAAGTTTGAGGAGAAAATTAAATTAATGTTTTCTACTGATCTGATATATTGCAGTTTAATAGCTTCTCTAGTCATCTTAAACAGGGTAGGGTTGGATGATATATACTCAGAAATGAAAGCTAATTTAGTTGCATAGTGACAAAACTACACTATCAATTGTGTTTTCCTGAAATTGGTTGTTACCTGATACCCATGATTTCATTTTTGAAAAAAATTTATTAATTCTAGTGTTACCGAACACCAATGCCATGAATTTATCATCTTGCCTATGGCTCTTAGCAATTATTTTTTTCTTTCCCTTTCTCTTTGAGTATGGAGATTGAATTTGT